GCCCGCCTGTGGCGGAGCCCGGAGCTGCAGTGAGGAGCAGGCTGCTGGACAAGTGAAGGCCTCACCTTGCCCCTGCACACGGCCAGGAAGGTGGCCCCACTGGACCCTGGGGCTGCAACCCTCTTGTAGTAAGCGTCGAGGACCTGGAATGAGGGACCGCTCAGCCATGCCCGGTGCCGGCCCCTTTGCCCATCTTCAGGGGAGGGTGTGGCCAGCAGGCTCCTGGCTGACCCGCCATAGCACAGCCTGCTTGGCGCGGCCCGGCGTAGGGCAGCTGGACCGTCGGAGCTGAGGGCCAGGGACTAGCAGTTGGCGTAATGGCTATGTTGCGGGACTCCCATGTAGTCGACTGTGGTTTGAGTCTCGGAGCTGGTAGCTTAACACTGAACACGTGTGTGCATGCCCAGAATCCCGAGAGAATGGTGAAGGGATTGCGGTGTGGCTACCCACCAGCCCACCTAAGCGCAGGCAAGGGTCACAGATCCAAGAGAGGCAGCCAGGAGCCACCCAGAGCCCCTGGTCAGGGCCAGCAGGCTCTGGAGGAGGTGAGGGCAGTGGGTGGGCCTGCAGGCTGACCTCTGAGAAGCTGCCCTTACTCCTGGGTTCCACGAACAGAGGCTTCTGCACCTCCACCCTCCTGGTCAGGTCGCGGGCCTGTGGAGGTGAGGACGTGGGGACGTGGGCCACAGACACGGGCCATGCCTCAGCCACCCGAGCCTGGGCCTCGGCCCTGCCCACCCACTCAGCCCAGGACCACAGCACTGCAGGGGACGCACCCGCCAGAACTCCAAGCTCTTCTCCATGACGGGGTAGGAGGGGAAGAAGACCAGGAGACCGTGGGGCACCACGCGGGCGATGTTGCCTGCAAACGCTGCGAGGTCACCACACCTAGTGCCCCAGTCCCCACCAGCCCCAGGGAGCGGAGGCTGCTCAGTCCTGGGAGTGAGGGATGGGGTGGGACACAGGATGGGGACAACGGGCAGAGTCGAGCTGAGGGTGCAGAGGGACTTACCCAGAGCCTTCCCCAGGGAGGACAAGCACTCCTCAGAAAACCTGCAGCACAAGGAGGCCACTGGCCGAGTGTCCCAGGGCCCAGCGTGCCTGCCACCACTACCCCCCGGACCGAGGGCGGAACCTCTTACCGCTTGTCAAACGCAGAGCTCAGCTGGGCTCCATCCGGGCCCTTGGGGACGACCCCCACCCAGATCTGGTGCTTGTCGATGACGTGTGGGTTCTCCAGACAAACCGGGAAGGGGCTGGGTACGGACAGAGGGTGTGGGCAGGGGCAGCCGCAGGGGTGGGTGGAGACCCCAGCACATGGCTCACAGGAAGCCCTAGATCAGGCTGCACCCAAGCCCCCAGCAGCTGCTTGGACTCGAGCAAGGCGGCCCTTACACCTGCATCTCCAGGGCGAAGGAGGACACGGGGGCCAGTGTGCCGCTGGTGAGGATGAGGGTGCGCACGCCCTGGCGGACCAGCTCCCGCATGCTGTGGCCGGGGCTGAAGCACCAGTAGCTCAGCACCTTCCCTGTGGGCGTGAGGGTGGGACTCGGCCACTGCGCCCTGACTCGCATGGCACCAGCTGACCCCGCGGCCACAAGCTGGGTGTGCGGTCAGGGCCAAGGGCTCAGCTGGCGGCGAGCAGGGACCTTCCCAGGGTTCTGCGAGCAGGGGAGGAGCAGGTCTGGGGTGGGTGCTGGGGTCACCTCAAGAGGTCGGCCGCCCTGCCCCACTTCTGTGGAAACCACATGCGGCTCAAGACTCAGAGCCCGCACTGCCCACGCGGGAAGGGAGTGGCAGCCCCCCGACTCCGTTTACGAAGGAGGCGGCCGCGTCCCGGACTGTCCCCGGAAACAGGAAAGTCTGCAGGGTCGCGGACGTCAGCAATCGACAAGATCTCTGCTGGGGGAGCCTGGCTCCGGGAGAAGTGCCCGCTGGCTGGGGGAGCAGGAGCTGAGGGCCCCCTGCCCCGCCTGCTCCCGGCATTCTCAGGAGCACAGGACACCCCAGGTGTCGAACCTCCTGGAAAGGGTGCAACCCTTCTGGGGCGGCAGGCCTGCTGCACAAGGAGGTCAGCCCCGTGGTGGGGACTGCTGGGTGTCCGCCTCGTAAGCCAGCTTCCTAGAAACATGCAGTGCAGAGCAGCTGGCCCGAAGTCGCATGACCTCGAGGGGGCTGGGACGGAAGGCTGCCAGGACCATGCCTGCACGGCACCTCCCAAGGGAGGCTGGGCTCCCCGCCTAGGGACGGCCCTTCTGGCGGGGAGGTCCGGCCACCATGCCTATCCCTGCTGCTGGCCAGAGTGCCCCTCGCGCTCCACGCGGGCTCAGGCTGCCCAGGCTGCACCTTGCTTCCTGGCTGCAGGGGAGCTCCAGGCATCTGACCGCTGCGGCGTCCTCCGTGGACTGGTGTCGGGGTGGATGTGCACCTGGAGGGGGCGTGTACAGTCCAGGGGCGCCCTGTGTGCTGGGTGGCCCCCACCCTGCAGCACTGTGGGACCCCTGCCCCACCCGAGTATGGGAGGCACCCTACCTTATAGGGCTGTAGGGCCTCAGGGCCTCCCCCAGATCCAGGGCTGCTGTCAGGGGGGTCCACACTGAACACGGTCTGGAGGGCAGAAGGCACACAGCGTGGGTCAGGGGCCCAGGGTGGCACAAGGCCCAGCTCGGCAGGCACCCAGCGCCCGAGCCCCAGAGGCCACGGCATGCCTGCCAAGAGCGGCTGGAGCTCGTCCCTAAGATGACCCAAGAGCTCAGCCCCTAAGGAGGTGCGGTCTCCTCTGGAAACACAGCAGCCACGCAGCCACTGTCCTGCACCCCCGGCCCACATCAGCGTGTCCCAGTCAAGGCCACAGCAGGGTCCCGGCCTCTGAAAGCAGGCAGGCGGAGTGAATGCCCAGGCGTGGCTACAGGGAGCGGGTGCCGCTCGTGGGGGTGAGTGGGCAGGCAGCACCGACGTCACCAGGAATGGCCCCCGTGCCTTGGCCTGTGTCGTTTCCCTGCACTGCAGGGTCTCACAGGCCAGGGCCGGCCTGCCCCCAGTAAGGCGTCTGCTGCGCCACCTCCACGGGCACCACCGGGCGCACCAGGACTGCACTCCTCTGCTGCGGGGACTGTGCCGGGGTGTCTGCAACACCCAGTTGCATGGCCTGCCTGGCGCTTGCGGGCCATGTTCCCGCTGGGCCAGGTCGCCTGCACGGGCACTCCTGGGGGCCAGTCACGACTCAGTCTTGGGCAGCGAGGGGACCCGGCACGCTGTGGCGTGTGACTGAGGCAGGTGTGCGTGCAGGCGAGGGCCTTGAAGGGGGTCCGCCCCACAGCCGCAGCTCTGCCTGACGCCGCCAGGCCCCACTGTAAGGGCAGGCCAGCTGTGGCCATGGGCACTGCCTAAGCCTGCACCATGGGCCCCAGGACAGTGGCATGCGGAGGCCAGCAGCTTGCAGTCAGGGGCTG